TTTCTTCGCTCAGTACATACATAATGCCCAGCTTTAAACAAAAAAACTACAAGGCGTACTAAGAGGCAAAACAAAACAGTGTCTGAAGAGAGAGTGTAAACATCGGAACCAGACTCAAATATGGCAGGCCTGTTTGTATTATCAGACCAGGAATTTAAAACAATTGTGCTGAGGGTTCCAATGAAAAAACGGAGAAAACATTCAATAACAGATGAGTAATTGTAATATAAGAAGAAATATTTTGTCTTTGCCCTGGTTCCTGGCACAGAGCTCTTCAAACTCTTGGAATCTCCTGAGTGATGAGTGGTTTTGGCATGTTAATGAAATGACTCTTGGTTGAGGGATGCCAAATAGCTTCGGGAGGAGAGCTGCTCACCAGAAAAACCATACCATGTGATTAGAAGGTTGGAAAATTCAACCCCATTCATGATCTCCTGGGAGGAGAGAGGGACTGGAGATTATGTTCAATCACCAATAGCGGATGGTTTAATCAATTATGCCTATGTAACGGAACTTCCATGAAAACCCATAAACAATAGGGCTTGAAGAACTTCCAGGTTGGCAAACACTTTGAGGGGCTTGAAGGGTCATGCACCAGCGTGGAGGCTTCCGGCCCCTCACCCCATATCTTGTCCTATGTGTCTCTTCCCTTTGAATGTTCCTGAGTGGTATCCTTTATAACAAACTGGTAACAGTAACTAAAGTGCTTTTCTGACTTCTGTGAGTTGTTCTAGTGAATTATCAAGACTGAGGAGAGAGTTGTGGGAATCCCCAAATTTATGGCCAAGTGAAACAAAAGTATGAATAACCTGGGGACCTGATACTTGTAACTGGTGTCTGAGGTGGGGGCAATCTTGTGTGGACTGAGCACTTAACCTGTGGGGTCTGTGCTAATTCTGGAAATTGGTGTCAAAATTGAATCGAATTGTTGGACACCCACTTGGTGTTGAAGGACTGGTGAATTGGTTGGTGTTAGAAAACACTCCAGAAAGAACCTGAGAGTAAAGTAAGCAAAGAGATGAAAGCTCTGAGAAGGAATAAAAAAGAAATACTAGAGGTCAGAAACATTGTAACTGAAATGAAGAATGCCTTTGATACACTAATTAAATGGACACAGGTGAGAAAAAGACTGAAAAAAAAGGAACTGAGGAGCCAAGAACTGTAAGACAGTGACAAAAGGTATAACATATATAAGAATACCAAAAGAAGAGAGAGAATCAGAAGAAATATCTGAAGCAATAATTGAAAATTTCCCTAAATTAACGTCAGACACCAAACCACAGATCCAGGAAGCTCAGAGAACACCAAGGAGGACAAAGGCCAAACAAAGAAAAGAAGAAAAGAAAAAACCTTAAAAGACCCACACACACACACACAACAAAAAATAAGCCCAAAAAACCCCCCAAAACATAAAACAAAACAAAACAAAACCAACTAAACAAAAAAATTACACCTGAGCACAGCATCCTCCAACTGCAGAAAACGAGAGAAAGAAAAAAATCTCGGAAGAAGAAAACATAAGGCATGTTAGGTAGCGGCAATGCTAATGCAGAAAAAAGTCAAGAGAGGACTAAAGAGTTACAGAGGGAGGAGGGGGAAAGGTTTGGAATTTTCCACAGAGTGGCCAAGGAAGGCCTCCTTGGAATGGAGGCCTTTTAGTCAAATTCCTGTGAACTTTGGAATTCATGGACACTTTAATAATGCTTTTCTTTATTTGGAGCCTGTAACAGGTCCCATGGTACAGTTGGAGGGGTGTAACCAGATGGCATCCTGGGCCTTGGGCAGGTGACCCAACTTTCTGGGCCTCCAGTCCACATCTCCAGCTGAGCTCCTTTCCACAGGACTTAGAGCTGCAAGGACCACTCTGTCCCCAGCTCCTCACGTGGCTGCCCCTTGCTTATCTTCGGGTCTCAGCTTCAACTTCATTTTCTATTGGCAGCACTCCCTGACCCACAGCCTTAAGAAGGTCTCTCTTATTTATTCTCACACCTTTCTTCCTAGTAAATTTCTTAATCGTAATTAATTCATTGGTGTGTAACTACCTAATGTCTGTTTTTCCTGCTAGAATGTAAGCTCTGTAAGAGGGACAGCCATGCCTCCCTCTGCTCACTGCTACATCCCCAGAACCTCTCAGAATGTCTAGCACGGAAAAGGCGCTCCACAAATGTATTTTGAATGCATAGGTGAATGAATGAACAATCAAGTGGCTGTTGCTTAGAGATCATTCTAGATTAAGCAAATGGCACAGTTAAGGAATGCGCATATATTCGGTGTCTGATAAATGACAGCTGCTGATTTCATGGATGTATTTCTCATCAGATGCTAGTAGTTCCCGTGACTAACTTGGTTTTATGTCTTTGCAAAAGCTGTTGGGATTTTAGGACTGGGTTTCCATATAGTTCAGCAATTTTTTCAGAAATCCAGGTCACTAGAATTTAGAGGGGCTTTTTTTTTCTGGTTTGTTGCCTCTCCTGCGATATGCTAATGCCTCTTATTAAAAAAAGGTGGGGGGGTGCCTGGGTGGCTCAGTCATTAAGTGTCTGCCTTCGGCTCAGGTCACGGTCCCAGGGTCCTGGGATCGAGCCCCGCATCGGGCTCCCTGCTCGGCGGGGAGTCTGCTTTTCCCTCTCCCACTCCCCCTGCTTGTGTTCCCTCTCTCGATGTGTCTCTCTCTCTCAGATACATAAATAAAATCTTAAAAAAAAAAGGCCATGACATGAGACTTAATCTTAGAAGATGAAGAATCCAATAGCCAGGGACTTGGGTTATTTCAAACAATAAAACACCCAATACCATTCAAGGACCTGTGGGGATGAGATGAGGCCGACAGGAGGTGCCGGTTAGGGTACAGGATTGAATTGTTATAGGACACCATGCTCTTGAACCCTGAACGGCCTTTGTGGTCTGGGAGGCTGCCGTCAGCAGCAGTGTACAAGATGACACGCAGCAACAGAATAAACTTTTCTTTTCCCACCTCCATTTCTGAAGAGTCTGTCTTTAGTCTCCTGGAAACTCATCAGTGACACTAAACACATGTTTTTCATCTTATTTTCTTTATAAACACAATTCCAATCAGGCACTTATAATTCTTGGGTAGAAACAAACCCAGTGTTTAGTTTTACATTGCTGTTTAAATCACTTGGGCTATAATTCTATTTCATGGTTTAGACATCTCAACTTACATAGCCAGTATCTGAAGCACTTTGAAAATAATTAAGTTTGATAGGGCTTAAGATGAAGTACTATTCTTATTCTTTCACATTTTAGTGCCAATTATAAATCCATATATCCATGGCCTTCATATTAATATAGCTTATGACTAATTCACTTTAATTTTGTTCATCTTTGATGGCAATTCACATTGTTCTTCCATTTACTGATTTGTAATTGGTTCTTGTTTTCATATGTTTTACGGAGACTCTCAGCTTCAGATAGATTAGGCAGATCGAAAGAATTTTTAAGACTAACAGTCATAGACATATTGTAATTTGTCAGTATAGCTCCCTCTCTCACCCACCTTTACAAGTTAAAGGCTTTATAGGGGCGCCAGGGTAGCTCAGTTGGTTAAGTGTCTGACTCTTGATTTTGGCTCAGGTCATGATCTTAGGGTCATGAGATCCAGTTAAAGGCTTTAGCGGCCTTTCTGTTCCTTCTGAAATAGTGATGGCATGGGCCGTTGGGTTTTGCAGAGCCAGGGAGCTTACATACATACAGATGGCAGGAACTCTTCCTAGAATCTAGTATGCTCCTTCTGAGTTGGTCTAACTCCCTTTGTCAGTTGTGGAAAGCTCTGTGACTCCTGTTTCCTGGGGTTTACCAGAAGACTCAAATGTCACAGCCACATCTTCTCTTGTTCCCAGTACAACCGTCTCCTTGGTTATTCTTCATTGTTTCTAATCTCTTTTTATCTTTTAATTTCCCTGTGTTTACATAGATGTGTGCCTCTTAGATGTACAAATCTCTTTGGAAAGTATGTGGGGCCTAGGTGAAAAACAAATCATCCTGCTTTCTTTAGGAGGGGACTAGATGGTCTTTCTAAGACTCTCGTCTTGTAGCAGTCTGAGTGATGAGGGGCTCCAGGCACTGTCTGTCCTCTGTCTCCCCCATGACTCCCCCATGACTCCTCCAAGGATGCCCTCTCTCTCCAAGTCATTTCCTGGCAACATCACTCATTTGCCACTTGCCACAAATAGTATCATGGTCACTTGCTTGACTTTTTAAAGCATTCATATTTTACCTGGAACCCTCAAACCAGAACCAGGACCTCCCCAAAGATTTCAAGCATTTCCCAGGATTTCAATCTCATCCTCACGTCTGGCTTTGAGATCCTGGGTCTGCAAACTCACCTACGCTTACCTAGTCCCTCCTGTCATTGGGGATGATCCAGCTACAGAATCAGGTCCCTGTCTTTCATTCACACAAATATCACCTCCACAAAGCATGTGTGTGTGGAAGATGTTACTAAATGCTTGGGGAAATAAAAAGAGCTTACAAGAAAACAAAACCAAGCAACTAAAAATTATGCAGTAGGGGGCACCTGGATGGCTCAGTCGTTAAGCGTCTGCCTTCGGCTCAGGTCATGATCCCAGGGTCCGGGGATCGAGCCCCACATCAGGCTCCCTGCTCAGCGGGATGCCTGCTTCTCCCTCTCCCACTCCCCCTGCTTGTGTTCCCTCTCTCGCTGTGT